TTCTTCTTCTTCTTCTTCTTCTTCTTCTTCTTCTCTTTAATTTTTTTAATTTTTTTTACCTTTTTTATTTAGTCAATCTTTGAGTTTGTTAGTACATATTTTGGTTATGTACGTGTAGCCAGTCACCGATGGGAGCTAAGGGGGTCCTGGCGTACCAGGCCACCCCCTAAACTTTTGAAAACTATCTAATATGGTCCACCAATTTTTATTTTTTATTATTTTTATCTATAAAATTTTATTTATTTTCTACAATTCTAACCGATTCCTTAATTTATCAATATTTTACTTCCTCCCACAAAAAAAAAAAAAAAAATTTCTAGCTCCGCCATTATAGCCAGTAGTAGATATTTTCTTAATCTTGTTTAGTTTTTCCTTAAGCATTTCTAGATAGTGTTTTAACATGTTTTAAAATATTTGATGATGGTACATAGCGAAGCATGTATATTTAATTACTGCACGAAACAAACAAATTGACTAGATATTTTAATCTTGGTCGGCTTTCTATGCCTATAATATTCTAGCTTTTTTCTCATTTCTGGGTAGTGTTTAACATTTTAAAGCATTTGATAGTGGTTTCATATATAAATTCCATATAATATTAATCTTTTGCCTTACTGTGCAGTACTAGAAACTTTGCCAATTTCAGAGACTATTTGCCAACCTCTAATACCTATTCGAAGTAGTGAGCAAACTCTCTTGACAACCGGGGAATCTCAGCCACTACTATTACCGGAACAATTTGGTAAACATTTTAGTACTAGAAGCGAACAAATATATATTTTTGCCTTAAACAAAAAACTATACATAGATATTTTCTTAATCTTGGTTGCTCTTTTTCCCTCCAATATAAGTCTAGCATTTTTCTCATTTCTAGATAGTGTTTTTGGTACTTTAAATTTGATGATGATCACACACACACATATATATATATATATATATATGTGTGCCTTAATTTCTACGTTCTCTCTTTAATTTGCAGTACGAGAAACCTATCATCAGATTTCACCAGTTGTTTCTCAACCTCTAACATCTATTCAGGGAGTTGATGAGCAAACCCTTTTGATGGCAGGCGAATCACAGCCACCGCAAGGTAAACCTGCGAAGGAAAAAAATATTGTTGGTGAAACTAGGGAAGCAGAACGGCGTGCCAGAAAAAGGGAGATTGATAAACAATATAGACAAAGACTCAAGGTAAACATTAAATCATTAATTATTTAATTTTGAAGTAGTAGATGTAGTAAATGAGTCAAGTCAAGTGAGTTCGGATTATATTATCTTAATTGTCAAGTTTATCGAGTTATGTCATCTTAAATTTTGTGTTAAAAGATAATTCATGACATACCCTACATAAATCTTGAATTAGGTGGGATAAACTTAACTTTAAAAAAAATATTAAAATCAAATATTTTTTCTATTTAAAAAAATTAATATAAATTATTTAATTAAAAATATTAAATTAATATTAAATATAATCTTATAAATAATAATGATTTTTATTTTTTTATTTTTTATTTAAAAAATAAAATTAAAAGTATATTTAATTAATATTTTGAATTTTAAAAATAAATTAATTTCAACTATCACTTTAAGTTAACTTGACTCGAGCATAAATAATTCAATTTGATTAGATTTGGGTAATTTTAATACGAGGCATATTAGATTTTTGGTCGGATTGTCATGAATCCAATCCATTAAAGGTAGAGTGCGGTCATCTTTTTTAATTTTTTTTCATTACACCCATATTACTTTCAGCAAACACAACAAGAAGTCAAGATCGAGAATGAGAAACTTGCGCTTGCAAATAAGCAATTAAAATTTGAAAATAGGCAATTGAAGGGTGAAATTCAGGAAAAGGAACAAGAAATTGAACAATTAAAGAAAGAAAATCAGGAAAGGGAACAGCAATGGGAGTCCAATCTGAAGAAATGCGCGGATGGCTTTGAGCAATTGCAACGTGAAACTCATGAAAAGGAACAAATATTGAAGTCCATGCAGGAAAGTGAAACGCGATGGAAGTCCATGCTGGATAAAATGGCGGCCGAGGCTAATGATAAATTGTTAAAAAGTCGATCTTGTTCTTGTAGCTGTGGTCAACAGTGTAAAACAGATGCAATTGAGACTGAAGATTTGCAAATTAATTCAGAACTGGCTCAGATTCGAAATGAACGTGATAATCTCAAGAAGCAAGAGACGGTAAGTCTGCCCTAAGCCACTAGTTGTTGAAAATATTAAAAAAGAATCCAAAACATCGAGATATCATGATATTGAAAATGAAATAACATTTTTAATGATTCCTAACTATTCATTCATCAGGCGAATAAAATTGCCCATCTTGATATTTTTAATACTAAGCTAGTCTAATCCTCCATGTACCAGGGCAAACTGTTCCAAGTTGGAGAAACATTCTTGCATTTCACGTGCCGTGGCACAGTAGCTACTTGCTGTCCCAAAAGGCAACCTGTGATTTGCACTTTCTAATTTCAGATTCAATACCTACATTAACACCACTAACATACTAACTTCTAACCATTGTCCTTATAAAAAAAAAAAAAAAAAAAGAGGTTGGAGAAACATTCTTGAAATCTAACACCTCTTCAATTATGCAGGTCTTCAAGAAGATTCTAACAGGAATGGATGCAAAGATAAGATTTTATTATTATGAAAGAAAGGAAACTGGATGGATTTCGTTCGGGAAAAATGTAT